CAATTTTGGCTCAGAGAGAGAGAGAGAGAGAGAGAGAGAGAGAGAAAAATTAGAATGAAATTTTAATCGAGAGAAGTAAACGCGAAAACGCATGGCATGCTACGCTCTTTCGTACTTCGACTAAACGCAATCTAATTGATTAACTTTATTCGTTAATAACTCTGTAAATAATGGTCTAAGCTAAAATTAATAAAGGAACTTTTAGTTCAAAATTTCATTTTCTTTCACGCCTTGAAATATTAATGAAGAGTTTTGGAACACGCTGTATACTGTAAAAGAAGTATGTAAAATTTATACAATTTAAAAATGTATACGAGTCCATTAAAAATCATATACGCTCGTAATTCTTATTCGCGATTCATGTGAATTTACATCTCAAGGTATCTTTTTTCCAATGTATTTTTATCCTTTGCGCGAAAATACTGCGGTAACATTCTTCGGTGTCCTAAACGGCTATAGCGAAGAAATAATATTCAATCTTAAAACCTCGGCACAATTGCAACGTCTCGCGTTATATCGTTTTTACTTTCAAATTTATGTGCAAATCAACGCCGAATAAATTATCTTCGTCGATAGTTCCTCCCAATATTTTCGTCCACGATCACACGGATTTATGCGGACAGCGGTCTACGCCGGCGAATTAATTGGATTAAATCGCCCGCAGTTTAATATTCATTTCATGCCTTATAGAGACGCCGCGAAGCTCGCAATCCGTATAAATTGCAGTGCCTTCAAAAAGCAATTTCATTTTGTACGTGAAGTTACCGCGGAATATGAAAGCAGGCTATCTTCTCCTGACAACCCTCTCAATTAGGAACCTAACTCTCGTAGAAATTATTACACCAGAAAATGTTCGGAACGATGTAATGCCCCGGGATTACCGCGGGGGTGAGCATATGACGTAGAAAGTGAATTTTTGGCGGAAAATCAAATTTTTCGTCCTATCGCGATCCGTCCAAAAATTCCTGCGTCTCTCGACGTCTCGCTATTTATCGCCATTACACCCTTCGTTGTATCACTTAACGTTATAATTCATAATTTTTTTTCATAATGTAAAACAGAATTATATGAGGATATACTAAAACGAATCGTGCGATTTTTAACTAATTTGTTTTTAACAAAAAAGTGGAGTCTCTTTAGTTTCTCTTTTTGTATTATTTATTTATTATACACAATCGAAGGGCTTTCTGCAACTAACTCACAGCTTATTAAGTATATGATATTGGTAGAAATGGATATATTTTTTCATTACTTCAACTTCAGATTACCTTAACTTCACATTTTCTCCGCGTTTTCGTCAAATGTAGATTAGCTCACTTGCAGCACAAATTCTTCAACTTTTCATTTATTCGTTTTATTTATTCATTCAAAATTATATTGATCATTATATTTTTATTGCTTCATTATGTTAATTAAGTATTCATCTGCGACCGATTGTAGTGACTGGGAAGAGTAAGACTGAGAGTAACTTTTAGTGTGACACATACACATATGTGTTTGTGTGTATAAATATTATATATGAGATTTCGCCGTTATGCATATTAAACTCTGCAGAAAAAATAAAGAAGAAAGTATAAAGCCGTGCCGCGGCTGCAATAACCCTCTGTAATTACGCGCTTAAATCACTGTCGGCGGAGTTATTGCAGCGGAATACTTTCCGCGCGGCCGAATGCGCTAGCATGGATAGCGAATGCGCGGAGTCCTGGCAGAGCGTCAGGTTATCCAACTTTCCGCAATCCTGACAAATTTCTTTTCCCTCTCTTCCTGATCTCGGTTATACGCGCGTTATTTCCGATTCACCGTGAAAATCGATGACGCGGCTAACTCTCGCGACGTTCGAAACTTCAAAAAACGTTCAACTCGCCGCAAACATGAAATCGACAGACTTTGGGGACACACTGAACTAAAACGAAAAAAAAATTTATCAAACGTATTACCGCATTAAGCACACGTGACAAAATAGGTTTCGGATTTTCATTAAGTTAAAAGCAATTTTTCACCAGTCGTGTACTACAAGCCGATCTTTATTAAATAAATAAATTTGTAATTAATTAGTTCCATTTTATTGCTATTTACATCTTTATTTTTAAAACGTTTATATTATAATTCGCCATCGATTCACTTCTGAAATTAAAAATTCTTGTTGAAGCATACATCCGCACATCGTATATGCTTCCAAAAAAAAATATTAGATCTTTTTAAAGCAACTAAATTACTGTATTTTTAGTTGTTTCAAGTTATTTGTCAAATTTTTCTCGTACGACTGAATACGCCTTTATAATGGTTCTTTCAAAATGCAAGCGAGACGCAATCGCTATTTGAATGAATCGCCGTTTCTTTCAAATCTACGTTTCTCCTAACAGGACTCGAGTCGGCTCTCGCCGAGCATCGTCATGAGTGAAATTCTACGGAAGAAACCGGCAAAATAATTGGCTCTATTACGCGCTTAATGCGCGTCGAAATTATGATGGCGGAACTTCCGGCGGCATATGCTCGCGGTCCGACGCCGTCTCGATTTTCTGTAACACGCTTTTCCGCGATCTCTCTCGAAAATTTCCCTCAACCAGTGTCCGCGAGATGCTCTCGACTCTGACCGCCCTTTCACGCCCTTTCCAGCCCTCTCAGCTCCGTTCGCGTTTCGCCCGGCGCGCGAAATCGACAGCGGTGCCAGTCAGAGGGATTCCCGGCGCGTGACGCGCCTCGAAATTCTGGGTTTTAATTGCGCCCCAGATATTTCGGCGCAGGGTGAGGGAGGGGGGGAAGAGGAGGGAGAGGCGGAAGGCATTAATGGACCGAATCCGAGGCGGAGCTGCAGCGCGACGTGCTGGTGCAACGCGTGCACTCGGACAACAAGGGCGGATGTTTAATTGAGCATTCGGTCGCGCCCGCCCGAACGCGAATGTCTCTCATAATCCGGCGTGCCAATTAACGCTATTAGAGGCATCGAGCGCGCCAGCACGCACCCGGCCGACAACGGTCCACGATAAATCCGATAATTGATTGTGGATCGACGCGTGTGCGACGGTCCATTACGAAAAATCGCAGGCGATTTGCGATTATCTCGCGGGATCGAATCGCCGTTTGGGAACGTGAGAATTTTTAAAAGTAAGGAATTTTGTGTTGTATAGAGAATTCGATTTGGTAAAGAGATCTTAGGATTTTCCGTATAAGAGACGCATAAATCGTTCTCTAATTATTCAAGGTTTTACACAACAGAATGGATAATTTTCCTGTTAAAAATATTGCTTTAGGCACTATAAATTCACATTCAATTTACTGTTATTCAGCTGATAAACTATCAAACACGTGTATAAATTACGCGATAGTATCCCGAAAGCATAACAGTTACCACGTTGGATTTAATTATTAGTCCACCGAGTGATTAATTGCCCGGAGAATTATGGCTCTTGGCTATTGTCCCGCTGTAAACACGCGCGGTATTCCATGTCAAACGCGAGTAAAATTTAGTAATTTTTCGCTTCGGCGGTCACAAGCGCGCAAACCATTTCAATCGGCTCTGCCATTGCGTTTCTAATTTCATTTGTCATGTAAGCGAATGGCGGAACGACGAGCCGTATCAATTATTACCCCCGCACTATTTTTCCACTTCTATAATCTTTTCCCAAAATTACACGGTCGTTCATCGTCAATGCGGATTCGCTTGTCACATTTGGCGCGAATCGATATTCGACGCCGGACCTCGACGCGGCCTCCTCGGCGTTTAATTATACAATCGGGGAAAAAGTCACGTGTGTGTCCCGATCCAATTGAAAATTAATTCCCTTCGTCCTGAGCGAGGCGCGCAGTCGTTCGAAAACGCGCGAAACTTATCCCGGGTTCACGTGTTCGCCGAAACGGTCGTTTCGACAAAGTAAACGGGAATTCGAATCGATCGAGGAAAAAAAAAAGCCGAGGAAAATATGAGTGGAAAGCCTCTCGAAATCGTCCGTATGTATAATCGGGCTCATTGTCAGTGTCGAAGTAAAATTCAACGTTCTGTCATTCACTATTCATCATCGACGTGTGTATACAGACGCGTTGAATTACCTAATTGAATTTGATTTATTTTGTCGGAATTCTGTTTTGCTTAATAAGAGAAGGCTCTCCCTCTCTCTCTCATCCATCTTATCCGTTAGCAACTCGCAAGCCCCATCGCTCAAAGGCTAAATTCATTATTTGCGAGGGCTGTTCCAACCATTTATAAATTATCAACGAGAGCACACTCTCGCTCCGTATTTTTCGCTTACGGGTGTCTTGTACGTGCCGCGCGGCACGACGTATGCGTCACGCTGAAAAACGTTGACGCTCGAAAAATTCTTGCGCTGCGCTAAATTCACGTCTCGCTAGAGATATTACATAACAAGAGTAGCTCAATCCTTTTATAAGCGAATGCCGACGACTTTTCCCATTGGTCCTTTCCTTTCGATCGATATATTTTTTACTTAATTGTACGAAAAGAACAATTTTGCTAAAGTATTTATAAATTTAATTAAATACAGATCTGAAAATATATAATTTTGTTGGACTGTGTGTCAAAATAATTATGTAGAGATGCTCAAGCAGATTGAGCGATGTGCAAAAAGTTTTGACATTCAGCGAAAGTTTCCAGCAACCAGCTTGAGCATCCTTTATAATTATTTTTAATAGTCTAATAAAATTATTCTCTATTTGTGTTTCTAGCTATTTTAACAAAATCGTTCTTTCCGTATGGTCTATCATTTAATGATTAACACAATTGCTAATTAAGTCAAAATGGCGGTCGTTTGCGCTACTGTTGTAATAGAGCTCTAGCGTGTCGCGAAGTGAGAGAGAGTTCCCTCTGACTCCTTTCCTTCTCCTGTCCTATCTACCTCCACGACGAGAATAGAACAAACGAACGTATATAGACGCGGAGAACTCCGGGTAATAGTCGAAAGTTTATAGAGTCTAACCGGAGGAAAGTAACTGGTTTATGGGAAAACTTTCGCCACGTTCTCACACGGAAAATTTACGTTTCGCAGCGCTGCCGAAGAGGGGACCGGAAATCACAGGCCTGTCCGTGCACTACGCCGTCGGCGAGAACGTGACTGCCAACTGCTCTGCCTGGCCGTCCGTGCCTAAGGCCAATCTACGTTGGACCATCAACGGCGAACCGGTAAAGTACCTTTCCGCATCCCCGGCGCCAGTCAACTTTCCCCGAGGCCTCGCGTCCGCCGGTGCATTGCACTCTCGCCCGGCCACGGGAAATGTGTTTCGTGTGTTTCTTTAGATCGGAAGTTTATATGGATATATATAGAAGAGCCGTACTAGTTTATCTTCGCGCGGGGAAAGAGCCGAAAGTGAACGGAGCTGTTGCTCCCGCTCTTTTTGTTGAAGACGAAGTTAATATATTCATATAAATTAATATATTCATATGAAGGCTCTAAAAGGAAAGTCAAAAGAGAAGCGCAACAATATACAGTGATATGTATGTATATACATGGAAAACTTAGCTGAACAAGATTGACTTTTTTGCCGAAACGAATTTAGAGAGACGACATTTTCACTTAAACGTTGAAAAGCTAGAAGAATAATTTTGTAACTAAATAAAAAAAACTCAGGAACATAGAGATCTTGGAATAAAAAGAAAATTTGAAAATAATTGTTCTATGAAAATTCTATTTTATTAAATTCCACATACGGAAAAAAAATTTACCCTCTAACGTTGATTATATCTGGCTGGTCAAACTCCAAATTAAATTAAAAAGAGTTCGTTCAATTATGCATGTACATATTCGGGGCACATTTCGCCGGAAGACTTAAGCTTTACATGTTAAGTAGCTCCCTAATATCATAGTTAAACTTCGCGTCACGTTTTTCAACGAAGGGAAAAATCGGCTTCAGTTTCGCCGACGGATATGTCCTTAGCGGGAGAGAATAACCGGGAGCAACCCTACCAACGTACACACGACGGAATTGATTGGATAGGTACACGCGTATACACTCCGATCTCGTCGGTAAGCTGCTTTCGCGGCGAAATCTGATTTCGCGTAAAGCGATAGTGTCCGCGCGCACCGGAGACACTGGCGCGGCAACGAGAGAGCGTTGTTCGAGAGAAAATCTCGTTTACTGTCACCCCGGTGTGCCAGTGACAACGAGAAGTTGAGGCCTCGAAGCGCCTACGCCTCGCGCGTGATTAGCGTATTCGTCGTCGTTTCGCGCGACGGACGCGAAACCATCTCCGAGGATTTTGTCTCGTCTCGTTTCTTATTAAATGACGATCCCGGAAAATCTACATAGGAAGTTCCACACTATCGTTTATTCGCGAAATTCGCGTTGCTGCGAACCGGAGATTGAAAACGATGCAATTTAGATTCATTTTTTTTAAATCAATTTTGATAAATTCAAATTTGCCTTTACTCTTTACGAATTAAATTTGTCTTCTTTTACATTAAGCTTGATTTAATTCTTTTTTAATAGCAACTAGCGTGCTGATCTTCCAGTAAAATTAGAAAACCAGCCGTTAAAAAAATACACTTCTATAAATTATATTTTTTTAGCTGCTAGCTTTTTAAAATTGTATAAATTACTTTTTTTTCCGAATTCGAACTTCGCTGTTGACGATTTCTTCATGAGACAGATTGAAATTGATGCGAGATGAATTTAAATTCATTTAGAACGTAGCATATACGTGCCGCGTTTAATGATTACAACAGAGTTCTAACAAATTTTTCATAATGCCATGATAACTTTATGTTCGCGCATTATGATTAAATTTAATTCTTAATTTAAATTCTCCACGAGCGAGCTACGAGATAATATGCTAAACGAATATTGCGAGTGGCCTGTATAGTATTCACTCATTAAAGTATGCGCGAGATAACGAGATTAGCGAGCCAAAACGTGCAGTATCCTTTGATCAATTTAGAGTCAATTTTACCTTAGCGAAAATTCAATTGGTCCTCGCCGCGGCCTTTCGCATTTTTTTTTATCCTCAAGATTAAATGTTTCGATACGAAAGCGCGCGCTACAAATAGAGAAAACTCTTTGACGCTAAAGTCAAATGTGAAATTTTAAATAAACAAGAGATTTTCATCATATTCTCTTTCTTACATCAAAATTTCCAGCGGAATTTTAAAAGCTAAACTTTTTCACTTTATCGCCACGTATATATCGCGAGGGAATAGTCAATGTACGCAATTTCCTGCTTCATTATGTTCGCGCAACTGAAAAATATTAATACCGAGAAGCAAACGTTACGCGCGAGAACAACGCGCGAAGCGTAGTAATATTCGCGGAACAATCGGCGGAAGAAAAGGAAAGGAAAAAAAAAGACGGACCGACGGACGGTTTGCTGAACGGGCTCGGCGAAATGTAAAAGATTGTCGTGCAATGTGCAAAATGTGTTCCTTAGAAAAGCGTAATTTCGCACCAAATTGATCGCCGTCCCCCGGATCCAAAGCAAATCTCCGTTGAACCGTCAACAAAGCGGCGGGCAAAGTACATTTCTCTCCTTTGCCCGGAGCACTCCCGGCACTTTGATTGTCGCGGGCGTTTCTGTAAATTAGAACGGACTGCGCGCCTCGAGAAAAACGGCAAATTGCTCGCAGCATCGCTCGCGTTTTGTATGCAGGTCGATTAACCCTCGAGGGACTCGAGTTCCGAGATTGTGAACATGGCGAATTAAAACTGATTAAATTATCCTGAAATCACGCATCTAAAACTCTATATTTCCTTATTCAGTGCTGAACCTTTTCCTTTCCTCGCAGAAATTTAATATTGAAAGATAAGTAATTAATTACTTATTTTGAGTATTAAAAGCCCCGGACAACGGTGCTTTTAAATAAGTAATTTCCAAGTATTAAATTGGCCCCAGTAGTAAATTGGATTTCTGTAAGGTTTTCAGCTTTCAAGATATTCCGTCTTTTGATGTATCTAAAATCTTACTTCATTTGAATAATTACATGAATGGATTAAGAATTACAGCATGGATAATTTGATTAAAAGTTTAAATGTTTAGATATTTCGATTTGCCTCACAATTAGCGTCAAAGTAGTGATATGTATTTAAAAAAAATTGTATTAGACAAACATTATTAGATATGAGTTAACAATAATTAATAACATTTGTATTTATTGATCAATACCGAGTTATCTGCCATTTTACGAATAATACTTGCTATATTTTATTATACCGCTAGATTATTTTGTTCGTTGTAATTACTGACGACAGACATACGAGAGTATACATGCGACACGGGTGTTTACGAATTTATTACATTTTATTTTTCCGGCAGTAAAAGACAATTCCCCGAAAAATTCTTTATTGCATTTTTTGTATCTTTTTCTTCCGTAGAATTCGTAATGTAAATTTTCTTCAGAAAAATATATGTACGAAGCTGGTGATTTTGATAAGTTTCCTCTTGTCTACTCAATTCCTTCGGTTTTATTTCGCAGTCGCGCACGGTATTACTTGGCGAATAATTCGAGTTTACGAGTTTCGAGAGGAGATGAGAAAAGCATCGATGTGCGGCTTTATCGCCCGCTCTATACAAAAAAAAAGATATATACGGAATTGAGATTTTTTTCATATTTCACGTGTATCGATTGTACGTCACGAGCGTAAACGCTCGTCCTGCCCGGTTACGTGTGTAGCTGTTACGGCAATTTTACTTCGCCCTCGTGCACCGCTTGATATAAGTTCGCAAATAATTCGAATTTACGATTCGTACACAGGATAGGGAAGGCATCGATGCGGACGGACTTTATCGTTCGTTTCCCGGGCGGGAGGGAAAAAGTGGAAACAAGATTTTTTCGCCGCTCTCTCCGGCAGTGCGACGGATCGATCGTAAGTTATCGGTGCATTGTAACAGTAAAGCCGACCGACCGACACACAATGGCTGGGCTGGTCGCGTGCCTTTTTATTAACATACGAGCCGAAACTGCAATCGCGGTCGATATAGTGACATATGGCCACGCTGAAAAGCACCCAGACGCCGCTTTTTACGCGTAATGGCTCGAATCCGACGTCGGTCGCACGTGTTTTTTTTTCCTCTCCGATGCGGGGGAGGGGGAGAGGGGTGATATATACGGGACGGCCTGGCATCGGCGAGATGGGAATTTAATGCGAGCCCATATTTGAATGATACGACGCTTTTTCAACGACTAGCGCAATGGTAATAATCTTTCCTTATTATTACGCTCTCCCACGCGAACAAGTTTCAGCCATTTTTCAAGCGAATCGCGCCAAAGTCACGAAAGTTTCCAACGCGATTGGAAATAATTCCTTCGATTCGGATGCGCCGACGGACTCGTAGAATGATGTATAGCTTATCATGTTCTTATTATCGCGTGTAACGATGTGTAAAATTGCTGTGAACAATATAATTCTTCTCTTTCAGAAATTATTATCTTACACATACAACACAATCATTCTCTTACGATAATTGCTACAGAGTAGAAAACATTTTGTATTTGTGTTAAAACCGATTCTCGTTAAAATTTTTGTGTTGATTTTTAACATAATTATTTAACATTTTTAGTGTTAATTAACACAATTTATGAGAATAAATTTAAAAAAACAAAAAATAATATAATAAATAGTTTTAAAACGTAAATTCTCTAAAATAATTGAACAAAATACGTATTACATTATTTACGTGGCGATCGTGGCGCGAGAAACTGTGGGTCGCCTTTCTGTGCCAAAGACCCAGGTTCAACCTAGAACAATGTAACTCTAAATCGATTTTAATCGATTATGGAAGCAATCGCCACCTCTCGGAAGGCAAAGGCTACCAAAAGTAACACTGGCAGTGTTACATTGCCCGGAAAAGTTCTCTTCTAATAGGTCGTTCGGAATCGGCGTTAAGAACTGTAGATTGGTGGATATATGTAGAAGAGATTGCCTATACGTTAGCAAGCATGTAGCATGCGAAGAAGAATTTAATTTAAATATTAATACAAAAAATGAATCATATTGCAGTAAAATGTATATGTTGTATATTATATATAATAAACATATTAATCTTACTAAAGGCTGCAAAATATTTTATTTTTTATATTAATATTTAAATTTAATTCTTCTTCAGTAAGATTAATATCCATATTATATATAATATACATATTAATTTTACTGAAGGATGTAATGAAATTCATTTTTGTATTAATCTTTTCTACA